GGCACAACCTCTCGTGCCACGTTTCCCAATCGGCCTCAGCACTCCCAGACGAAGCCTTTGCCCATGCAGCTGTCGCATCCACACCAGCAAGCACCTCACCATGAGGTTGCCGTGACTGCTGCACCTTCTTGACTGTATCCAGGGCCCCAGTTGGTGCAGTCACTTCTCCTCCCGCAGTTGCTTTGGCCGTTGCCGCTGCCTTAGCCGTTGCTGGTGGTTTCCCATTCCAAGGGATGATGGGCAGCTGCCACAGGTCCTTGATGCAGCTGCTCTTCTCCTCCAAATCCCACAGCAGCAACTTCCCAAGCTTCGCACGGCAGCTCGTTAAGCCAAACGTAACTTTGGCCTTGCTTTTCTGCAGCCGGCGCACAGAGAGAAGGTTAGCGGATAAACCTTCAACTAGCAGCACATTTCCCAGTCCCACAAGTCCCCCATTGACTCCCATCACCTTGGCATTCCCAACACCAATCACAGGGAGCAAAGCACCTGAAGCGGCAGCCACAAACTTGATCTTCCCAGGGGTTTCACCTCATCAAGCAAATCTGCCCGCGGGGTCATGTGACTTGTGCAACCAGAATCGATCACCCAGTGAGTGAGGGGGTGCATCACAACCTTCCCAACTGAACCCACATCATCCTCACTCCCTTTCACTTCCTCAACCATGAGGAACAGCTCAGGGTCAGCTTTACCTTGTGCACCATCACCTTGTGCACCTGAACCTTGCACAGCACCGCCTCGTGCGCGTTCACCACTTGGCGGCTTCATGCCCGGAGGCGCCCATCCCTCAGGCCGGCTGAAATACTTGAACCACGGGTGTCCAGCCTTCTTGCAGTACCAGCATGCACCCTCCATTCGGGTGCTCCCCCTGCCACCAGAGCTCCCATGCCCCTCGTTGTAGTCACCTCGGCCTCTTCCTCTGCCAAAGCCTCTCCCACGGCCTCGGCCTCTCCCTCCCCCTCTTCCTCTGCTGCCTCCCGCAGCTCCATACCCCTCAGCAGTTTTGTTGGCAGCACCACTTCCCGTGTGGCGCCTGCGGAAGTCCTCCTGCAGGATCTGCTGCCGTAGCCACTCAGGCGTCCACCTGTCCTGCTGAACATTGAGGGTGGGATGAGGTTCTCCAACGAGTTGTCGAGCACCGAGATGATTTTGGTGCATTGCTGCATCTCCGACACCTTGCTGCCCGCCACTGCCATCCTCGCATAGGTGTCCTTGATCTTGTCAAGCACCGGTTTCACATCGTCTCCCGGCTTCATGGAGAGGGCAGCCAGCTCCTTCTCCAACACAATCACCATCGGCAGCGTGTTGGGCTGAACCACGTCGTGTAGCAGCTTCCACGCTTTCGGTCCGGAGTCGTCCAGCTCCACTAAGTCCTTGATGTGCTGGAACATGTCATAGTTGACTGATTGTAGAATCAGGTCGTACAGCACCGCGCTCTTCTCAATCCACCGATCGCGGGCATCACCTTCCTCGGGCATCTTCTCCTCTCCCATCGCAATCTTCAGCAGCTTGTAGCGCTTGAAAGCACTCCGCATCCGCCTGCTCCATTCCTCATAATTGGAGCCGTCCAAAGCCTCGATCTTGGACGGTTGCGGTTCACTCTTCTTGTCAGTTGCTTCTCCACTCATCTCCTCTACTCCCTATCAGAGGTTTCAGCTCCCCCTTTGCTGTCCACACCGAAGTCCCACAAATTTCCACAAGTGTCAGCGCCAACGAAATTTCGGCAGAGTTTCCCCTCAGCGGAAATCACATCCAACCTCTAGAACTCCACTTAGGCACGCCCACAGGCCATGGTGGGTCTAAGAGGGTCTTCACACTTCAGTAGACTCTTCACAACGTCCTCAATCAGCTCTGATACCACTTGTTATAGACCGAGGACCGAGTCTATGAAGATTAGGTGTCCAAATATCTCAAAATCGTTGGCTTAGAATTCTGGACAGAAACCGCGATTTCACAAGAAACGTCGTCGCCGAAAGATTCACCGTTAGAATCGTCTCTAACTCGAATATGTTATAGCCCTAGACCGTGGGTACAATTCCCAATTTGAATCACCTCAAACGATGGAGTATATCTCGAGTTATGCTTTTCGGCGCACTAGGGGGTATGCTGCCACATAGAAACTTAACTCACTCACAATAGCTTCACAAGTTTACAAGAGTTGCACACAAGAGAGTTAGAGTAGCAGTAAACCAGGTGGGAGGGAAGAGGAGGACGAGAGGGAAGGTCCCAAGGGAGTCCCCAACCAAGGAAACCCCATGCCACACAATTTCCCTCCCTATGGCAACCCCACTTTGACATTTGTCACTTTCCAACCCATGCCATCCACCTCAACCCACTTGGCCACACTTGCCAACCTGGTTTGGCTTCTCCCAACCACATGGTAGCAATCTACAGTGATGGGTTCGAATTCCCAACCCCCAAAAGTTTGTACCCCGTATTGATTAAGCCCCACAACTTCCCATAGTCACCACAACCGAATTTCAAAAGCATACGAACTCCAACGTTCCTAACTTTCTTGGTCGTAGTCCGATTGCGACGATTCTTGGCTCGTCGGAAAGCTGTTGAGTAGAGCAGTCACTTCAAATATCTGCTCAAGTCAAATATCATTCACACACACTCAGAAAATCCAAACCGCGCAAAACACAAATTCTTGCACATGCTCACACCACGCATGCAACACACGAACACATGATGGGAGGCAGACAGACGTGAATTCATATGGTTGCATCACACAACACATGAGGGCATGAGGGCATGAGGGCATGAGGGCATGAGGGCATGAGGGCGTGAGGGCATGGGGGCATGAGGGCATGAGGGCATGAGGGCATGAGGGTGTGAGGGCATGAGGGCATGAGGGCATGAGGGCGTGAGGGGATGAGGGCATGAGGGCATGAGGGCATGAGGGCATGAGGGCGTGGGGGCATGAGGGCATGAGGGCGTGAGGGCATGAGGGCATGAGGGCATGAGGGCGTGAGGGCACGAGGGCATGAGGGCATAAGGGCATGAGGGCATGAGGGTATGCGGGCATGAGGGCATGAGGGCGTGAGGGCATGAGGGCATGAGGGAATGAGTGCATGAGGGCATGAGGGCATGAGTGCATGAGTGCATGGGTACATGAGGGCAGGAGTACATGAGGGCATGAGGGCATGAGGGCATGAGGGCATGAGGGCGTGAGGGCATGAGGGCGTGAGGGCATGAGGGCGTGAGGGCGTGAGGGCATGAGGGCATGAGGGCATGATGGTGTGAGGGAATGAGGGCATGATGGCGTGAGGGCATGAGAGCATGATGGCGTGAGGGCATGAGGGCATGAGGGCGTGAGGGCGTGAGGGCATGAGGGCGTGAGGGCGTGAGGGCGTGAGGGCATGAGGGCATGAGGGCATGATCGCGTGAGGGCATGAGGGCATGATGGCGTGAGGGCATGAGGGCATGAGTGCATGAGGGCATGAGGGCATGAGTGCATGAGTACATGAGGGAAGGAGAGCATGAGGGCATGAGGGCATGAGGGCATGAGGGCATGAGGGCGTGAGGGCGTGAGGGCGTGAGTGCATGAGGGCATGAAGGCATGAGGGCATGAGGGCATGAGGGGATGAGGTCATGAGGGCATGAGGGCATGATGGCGTGAGGGCATGAGGGCATGAGGGCATGAGGGCATCAGGGCGTGAGGGCATGAGGGCATGAGGGCATGAGGGCATGAGGGCATGAGGGCATAAGGGCATGAGGGCGTGAGGGCATGAGGGCATGAGGGAATGAGGGCATGAGCGCATGAGACCATGAGGGCATGAGGGCATGAGGGCGTGAGGGCATGAGGGCATGAGGGCATGAGGGCGTGAAGGCATGAGGGCATGAGGGCGTGAGGGCTTGAGGGCTTGCGGGCATGAGTGCATGAGGGCATGAGGGCATGATGGCGTGAGGGCATGAGTGCATGAGGGCATGAGCTCATGAGGGCATGGGGGCATGAGGGCATGAGGGCATGAGGGCATGAGAGCATGAGGGCATGAGGGCGTGAGGGCATGAGGGCATCAGGGCGTGAGGGCATGAGGGCATTAGGGCATGATGGCGTGATTGCATGAGGGCATGAGGGCATGATAGCGTGAGGGCATGAGGGCATGAGGGCATGAGGGCATGAGGGAGGGCATGAGGGCATGAGGGCATGAGGGCATGAGGGCATGAGGGCATGAGGGCATGAGGGCATGCATGAGGGCATGAGGGGATGAGGGCATGAGGGCATCAGGGTATAAGGGCGTGAGGGCATGAGGGCATGAGGGCGTGAGGGCATGAGGGCATGAGGGAATGAGGGCGTGAGGGCATGAGGATGAGGGCATGGGCATGAGGGCATGAAAGGATGAGGGCATAAGGGCATGAGGGCATGAGGGCGTGAGGGCATGAGGGCATGAGGGCATCAGGGCGTGAGGGCATGAGGGCATGAGGGCGTGAGGGCATGAGGGCATGAGGGCATGAGGGCATAGGGCATGAGGGCGTGAGGGCATGAGGGCATGAGGGCATGAGGGCATGAGGGCATGAGGGCATGAGGGCATGAGGTCATGAGGGCGTGAGGGCACGAGGGCATGAGGGTATGAGGGCGTGAGGGCATGAGGGAACGAGGGCATGAGGGCTTGAGGGCTTGAGGGCATGAGTGCATGAGGGCATGATGGCATGATGGCGTGAGGGCATGAGTGCATGAGGGCATGAGCTTATGAGGGCATGGGGGCATGAGGGCATGAGGGCATGAGGGCATGAGGACATGAGGGCGTGAGGGCATGAGGCCATGACGGCATGAGGGCATGAGGGCATGAGGGGATGACGGCATGAGGGGATGACGGCATGAGGGCGTGAGGGCATGAGGGCATGAGGGCATGAGGGCGTGAGGGCATGAGGGCATGAGGGCGTGAGGGCATGAGGGCGTGAGGGCATGAGGGCATGAGGGCATGAGGGCATGAGGGCGTGAGGGTATGAGGTCCTGAGGGCATGAAGGCATGAAGGCATGAGGGCATGAGTGGATGAGGTCATGAGGACATGAGGGCATGATGGCGTGAGGGCATGAGGGCATCAGGGCATGAGGGAATGAGGGCATGAAAGGATGAGGGCATGAGGGCATGAGGGCATGAGGGCGTGAGGGCATGAGGGCATGAGGGCATCAGGGCGTGAGGGCATGAGGGCATGAGGGCGTGAGGGCATGAGGGCATGAGGGCATGAGGGCATAAGGGCATGAGGGCGTGAGGGCATGAGGGCATGAGGGAATGAGGGCATGAGGGCATGAGGGCATGAGGGCATGAGGTCATGAGGGCGTGAGGGCATGAGGGCATGAGGGTATGAGGGCGTGAGGGCATGAGGGCATGAGGGCATGAGGGCGTGAGGGCATGAGGGCATGAGGGCATGAGGGCGTGAGGGCATGAGGGCGTGAGTGCATGAGGCATTATGGCGTGAGGGCATGAGTGCATGAGGGCATGAGGGCATGAGGGCATGAAGGCATGAGGGCATGAGGGCATGAGGGCATGCGGGCATGAGGGCATGAGGGCGTGAGGGCATGAGGGCATGAGTGCATTAGGGCAGGGCATGAGGGTGAGGGCATGAGAGCATGAGGGCATGAGGCATGAGGGCATGAGGGAATGAGTGCATGAGGGCATGAGGGAATGAGTGCATGAGGGCATGAGGGCAGGAGTGAGGGCATGAGGGCGTGAGGGCATGAGGGTGTGAGGGCATGAGGGCGTGAGGGCGTGAGGGCATGAGGGCATGAGGGCATGAGGACATGAGGGCGTGAGGGCATAAGGGCATGAGGGCATGAGGGCATGAGGGCATGAGGGGATGAGGGCGTGAGGGCATGAAGGCATATGGGCGTGAGGGCATGAGGGCATGAGGGCATGAGGGCATGAGCGGATGACGGCATATGGGCATGAGGGCGTGAAGGCATGAGGGCATGAGGGCATGAGGGGATGAGGTCATGAGGGCATGATGGCGTGAGGGCATGAGGGCATGAGGGCATGAGGGCATGAGGGCACGAAAGGATGAGGGCATGAGGGCATGAGGGCATGAGGGCATTAGGGCGTGAGGGCATGAGGGCATGAGGGCATCAGGGCGTGAGGGCATGAGGGCATGAGGGTGTGAGGGCATGAGGGCATGAGGGCATGAAAGCATAAGGGCATGAGGGCGTGAGGGCATGAGGGCATGAGGGAATGAGGGCATGAGGGCATGAGAGCATGAGGGCATGAGGGCATGAGGGCGTGAGGGCATGAGGGCATGAGGGTATGAGGGTGTGAGGGCATGAGGGCATGAGGGCATGAGGGCTTGAGGGCTTGAGGGCATGAGTGCATGACGGCATGAGGGCATGATGGCGTGAGGGCATGAGTGCATGAGGGCATGAGCTCATGAGGGCATGGGGCATGAGGGCATGAGGGCATGAGGGCATGAGGGCATGAAAGGATGAGGGCATGAGGGCATGAGGGCATGAGGGCATGAGGGCATGAGGGCATGAGGGCATCAGGGCGTGAGGGCATGAGGGCATGAGGGCGTGAGGGCATGAGGGCATGAGGGCATGAGGGCATAAGGGCATGAGGGCGTGAGGGCATGAGGGCATGAGGGAATGAGGGCATGAGGGCATGAGAGCATGAGGGCATGAGGGCATGAGGGCGTGAGGGCATGAGGGCATGAGGGTATGAGGGCGTGAGGGCATGAGGGCAAGAGGGCATGAGGGCTTGAGGGCTTGAGGGCATGAGTGCATGAGGGCATGAGGGCATGATAGCGTGAGGACATGAGTGCATGAGGGCATGAGCTCATGAGGGCATGGGGGCATGATGGCATGAGGGCATGAGGGCATGAGGGCATGAGGGCATGAAGGCATGAGGGCGTGAGGGCATGAGGGCATGAGGGCGTGAGGGCATGAGGGCATTAGGGCATGATGGCGTGATTGCATGAGGGCACGAGGGCATGATAGCGTGAGGGCATGAGTGCATGAGGGCATGAGGGCATGAGGGCATGAGGGCATGAGGGCATGAGGGCATGAGGGCATGAGTGCATGAGGGCATGAGGGGATGAGGGCATGAGGGCATCAGGGTATGAGGGCGTGAGGGCATGAGGGCATGAGGGCGTGAGGGGCATGAGGGCATGAGGGCGTGAGGGCATGAGGGCATGAGGGCATGAGGGCATGAGGGCGTGAGGGCATGAGGGCGTGAGGGCATGAGTGCATGAGGGCATGAGGGCGTGAAGGCATGAGGGCATGAGGGCATGAGGGGATGAGGTCATGAGGGCATGATGGCGTGAAGGCATGAGGGCATGAGGGCATGAGGGCATGAGGGCATGAGGGCATGAGGGCATGAGGGCGTGAGGGCATGAGGGCGTGAGGGCGTGAGGGCATGAGGGCATGAGGGCATGAGGGCATGAGGGCATGAGGGTATGAGGGCATGAGGGCATGATGTTATAGACTGAGGACCGAGTCTATGAAGATTAGGTGTCCAAATATCTCAAAATCGTTGGCTTAGAATTCTGGACAGAAACCGCGATTTCACAAGAAACTTCGTCGCCAAAAGATTCAATGTTGGAATCGTCTCAAACTCGAGTATGTTATAGCTCTAGACCGTGGCTACAATGCCCAATTTGAATCACCTCAAAAGATGGAGTATATCTCGAGTTATGCTTTTCGGCGCACTAGGGGGTATGCTGCCACATTGAAACTTAACTCACTCACAATAGCTTCACAAGTTTACAAGAGTTGCACACAAGAGAGTTAGAGTAGCAGTAAACCAGGTGGGAGGGAAGAGGAGGACGAGAGGGAAGGTCCCAAGGGAGTCCCCAACCAAGGAAACCCCATGCCACACAATTTCCCTCCCTATGGCAACCCCACTTTGACATTTGTCACTTTCCAACCCATGCCATCCACCTCAACCCACTTGGCCACACTTGCCAACCTGGTTGGCTTCTCCCAACCACATGGCAGCAATCTACAGTGATGGGTTCGAATTCCCAACCCCCAAAAGTTTGTACCCCATATTGATTAAGCCCCACAACTTCCCATAGTCACCACAACCGAATTTCAAAAGCATACGAACTCCAACGTTCGTAACTTTCTTGGTCGTACTCCGATTGCGACGATTCTTGGCTCGTCGGAAAGCTGTTGAGTAGAGCAGTCACTTCAAATATCTGCTCAAGTCAAATATCATTCACACACACCCAGAAAATCCAAACCGCGCAAAACACAAATTCTTGCACATGCTCACACCACTCATGCAACACACGAACACATGATGGGAGGCAGACAGACGTGAATTCATATGGTTGCATCACACAACAAACTCCCCCTCTGGCTGCCAACCATCATCCACATGCCATAACTCAAGCATGCACCCTAAATGCACACTCATTCCAGCAAGCTTCATGCCCTTCTAGTGCTCAGAATCTGCCAGGCGCTTGGTGAGAATGTCAGCCGCCTGTTGCTGGGTCTTCAGAAGTTCCAGTCGCACCTCCTTGTCCAGGAGCCTCCTCGTCCAATGCCACTTAGGCCTGATGTGCTTTGTCAGGCCATGAAGACAGGCATTCTTCGCAAGCTTCACAGTCGACTCATTGTCACAGAAAATCACAGTTGGCCCTTTCTGACCAACACCAATCTCCTCCAACAAACGCCTCAGCCACACCACCTCCTTTGCCCCATGATGCAGGGCCATGTACTCTGTCTCACATGAGGACAGCCCCACCTCATTCTGCTTCTTGCTGCGCCAGCTCACTGCACCACCTCCAAACAGGCATACATAACCTCCAATGCTGGTGGCATCCGACTTCACAGAGTTGAAGCTGGCGTCAGTGTAGCATGTCAAGCGCATCTCCCCCTTGCTCAAGTCAGCTGCACCCCGCTGCTGCCTTTGCCTTACGGCACTGTACTCCAAGCCCACTGATGCTGTAGCGCTCACATAGCGGACCAACCTCTTGGCCGCTTCCAGCTGCTCATGACTGGGGCGTGAAACCACACTAGCAAGCCTGGATGTAGCAAAGGCAATGTCAGGCCGCGTGTGGTTAGCCGCGTAGTTGAGTGCCCCCACCATGGAATGAAACAGCTTCCTGTCACTCTCTCCCACCACCTCCTCATCTGCACAGGTCTCCACAGTGAACCCCGATGGTAGTGGGGTGGCTGGCTTCCCTCCATCTTACAGCCCATATTTCTCAGCCAGCCCCTCACAGTACTTCCTCTGGTGCAACCTCAACACTCCCTTGTCGAGGTCCCTCTCCACATGCATCCCCAGGTAGTACTTCACATCTCCCATCTTTGAGCACTTGAACTGCATCCAGCACGCTCAATCATCGCAGACGACTCGGAGAAAAGCAGGATGTCGTCCACATACACCAGGAGCAGGAGAAACTGCTCCTTTTCCTGCAGCAGGAACAGGCTGTGATCGCACTCGCTCTTCTTGAATCCCCCATCCAGCAAGGTCTCCTCCAGCTTGTGGTACCATGCACGAGGAGTCTGCTTCAAGCCATAGATGGCCTTCTTCAGCCTGCACACCCTGCCGCTCCTATCATCCAACTCCTCAGGCTGCAGCATGTACAGCTCCTCCAGAATGATCCCATTGAGGAAGGCCATGATGATATCCATCTGCTTGATCTTCCATCCACGGTTTGCAGCCATTGCCAGCATCGTCCTCAGTGTTGTTCCTTTCCCCACAGGAGCAAAGATGTCGTCAAAATCCTTGCCATTTGTTTGCTGGAACCCCTTAGCCACAAGCCTTGACTTGTAGCGGGTCAGCTTCCCATCAGGCCCGTACTTGTGCTTGAAAATCCGCTTGGAAGAAATGGCCTTCTTCCCGGGAGGCAGCTCACACAACTCCCACGTGTCATTCTCCAGCAGTGAGTCGTACTCCTCCTTCACACTCTGCTTCCACTTTTCAGCATCGGGCCCACTCAAGGCCTCGGTAAGTGTCTTGGGCTCAGGGACGGCTGCCCAGTAGCAGTGCGCTATCTCCTCCTCATCACACTGCTCAGCCACACTCCCAGCCCGTACCACCTTTGGCTTTCCAAAGCTTGGATAGGTCAGCCGGTTAGGAGGGCGCACATCCCTCCTAGGATGGTCACCCGTACGTGCGGCACCTTGTGGAGCACTTTGCTGCTGCTGCTGCGGCTGCTGCTCCTCCACCTCAGGTTCTCCCCCATCCTTAGTCACTCCAGAGACCTCCTTCTCAGAGACAGAAACCTCCACCTGCCTCGAAAGCCGCTGCACCTCATCGGCCTCAATGATCAGCGGTGTCGTAGGAAGCTTCTGCTGCTGCTGCTTCCACTCCTTGTAGTACAGGGAATCAAGGAACTTCACATCCCTTGACACAGTCAGCTGCTGGCTGGTCAAGTCCCATATCAGCCAGCCCTTGTGATCCTTAGCAAGCCCCAAGGCACACCCCATCTTCCAGAAGATTTTAGCTTTCCTTTCTTCTCCTTTGGCACATGGAACACCACCATGCATCTGCAAGCTCTCAACATGTTCACCGCTGGTGCACTCCCATACCACTTGGTGTAGGGGATCCACTGCTTGTCCCCCACAGTCGCGAGCACCCTGTTCTTCACCACAACGACCTGCCGTAGTGCAGTCACCCAAAACGGATCTGGCAGCCCTGCACGCCCAAGGAGAGTGCGAGCACCTTCCTGCAGGGTCCGGTTGAATCGCTCAGCCACGCCGTTCTGCTGAGGGTTGTAGGGCACTGTGAGCTGATGCTGGATCCCCTTCTTCTTCAGCACCGCCTCAAAATCAGCGCGAATGAACTCTCCCCCGTTGTCGGTGCGGATCACCTTCACCTTGTGTCCACTCTCCCTTTGAGCTCTCGGCATCCATTCATTGAGAATAGCCGCTGCCACATCCCCCTTCGTCTTGAGAAGGTAGAACCACACCGCACGCGTGTGGTCATCTACGATGGTCAAGAAGTAGCGGCTGCCCGAGAGCGAAGTGGCCCGCGTGGGG